CAATGTGAACTCCGAGGTAGCGAGCAGAAGAGACAGATGGCAGCTTAGTCGCATGACACCATACGTCCAGTTCAGGTTGCGCTTCTAGCTTCCCAGCCGGTACTACCAATGCCTGACTTTTTGATGCATTAAGGATCAAACCTCGCTGCTTCAGCCAGTCAGCAATGCATGTCACTGCTCTAATAGGGCAAAGGCCAGACGGCTCCGGATAAGCGAGATATGGGTATGATACCCAACCGATCCACGCTCCTCCATAAGGACAGCCAGCCGCCGATAAAACGCAGTAGCAGCACAACCAGTTGTTGCCAGGACAAGTGGAGTGAAACCCAACATCTCCACCTCTCGCACTCGTTCAGCATAATGGCGTCGCTTCTCAGCTTCGTGCTTGTTGAATGCAGATTGGATGTGGGCCGACCGGTTCGAAGCTGCATATGGGTTGAATACCCTTACATCAAAAAATCAGCGTTCAAACCGTCCGCCCTACACCCCGCCTGCCACAATGTCAAGCGGTGCCTGGTCAGTTGATATTGCCGTCCTATGGCGAAACCGCTCACCCGTGACCGTCTGAAGATGAGGCTCCACCGCAACGTTATTTGCCACTCTACGGAGCATGCTGGCGGTGACGTCACGTACCTCATTGTGGCGCAACGTTGGAAAGCCACCCTTTGGGCAAGACAAGGCGTGGCAGAGATCGAAACTGGCCCCAGAGGCACAGCTACTGGGAAGACCAGTCAATGGCCAGCCATACCAAAGGGCAATGCCGTCCCGGAACTCACCCTTAGTCAGAGCGAATCAGTGGCGCTTCATCGGCCGGCAAGTCAGCCAATTAGACGCTCCTGGCTGGGAGGCCAATTGGCCAGAATAGCAGAGTTCTGCCAGTGCCGCCGCAAGGAAATCAAGCACTTTGCTCTTCATAGAACATCTGCTCGCTGCCGACAACTTGCGCTTCGCGGAACGAACACAGTCCAACGAGTCGCCGAGGGGAGCCTGAGAGCAGATGCGTTCCACCAGAGGAGCTGTAATGGTCTTCGAAGTTGTGTACTGGTGGTTTAGAGTGGTGGGGACTACAATGCCCAAGTCACCATGGCGGCAAGGAAAGGAAACCATTTCTCTCTCCATTTCATTAGGGTGGTATCCAGTCACCATTGGGAGGAGCTTGTGATGAATAGCTCTTCCAACGGCCTGAGGGCTTTTGCAGCACCATCCACCGTCCGGCAAAGAAACGTCCATTTACTCTGCAGCCCATTCACCAAAGCATGGTAGGCTGCCTGCGGCTGTGCCTCAGCAAACTCACACAACTTGTTCACCTTCCCGAGGAATCCACTCACTCTGTCAGCCAGGTATTCCTCGACGAACGGAGCAGTGCCGAGAGCTGAATAGAACCTGCGACTTCCTGGATTTTATTGCCAAGCACACCCATAATCGCTTTCCCGATTATGCGTCGCATTACCTCATCTATCCCAATGGGCCTCACACCTGGATTTTTGTCCAGAGGAATATGCCTTCAAGCGGTGTAGGCTTGTTAACTGACTGGATCAACATAGGCGGTGGCGATGCGAAAGGCACAGGCGGCAACCGCATCACATAAACCATCAGATGCCTGACCGAACGAAGTGAGCATTCACCGCCAGACATCAGCATCCACTCCAGACGGTCCTGCAGCTCCCTCGACCTTCAGAGCAGTTCGCCGAATGCTATCTCTTGTTATGGCAGCAAATAGAATTGGATGTGGGGCCTGTGGCGGGGCACCATCAGGTACATATCCGGGCTGGATAGGCGCTGCCTTCGGGTGTTTACCCTTCAGAATATCACGCACCGTTTCACCATCAATTTCGTCGTCAAGCCGCAGTATACCTCCACGCTCAGGGGCACGGCGGTGCCATATCTCGTCTTAACCTTGCACTCAGTTATGTGGTTATCGCAGTGGTCTGAAGGGCACGAAGAATGGCTGGGTTCAGGGGGCCATTTGGTACCTACCGAGTCGATGCCCTGACCATACAGTAGGGGCTTTGGCCTACATAAAGACGTTCTTGGTACAATCACATCAGCAGCTGGGCCAGCCATTGTATGGCGAGACACATACTTGCCATTTAACATGGCCTTTACGTCTCTGTGACTCTATGACGTATACCTGGGCTGAGAGCTGTTTCTATAGATGCTGCGCGAGGAGGAAGTTAACGAGAGTCTGGCCGGCCAAGATCCATGGGTGTGCGGAGCAGTCCTGTCAGCGCGTAACTGATGTCATCATGCATGGAATGAAACAGTTCATACCATCCAAAGAGCTTGTGGTGCACCAATCCAACCCTGTATGGTGGACACCGGACTGTTCTAACGCCAATCATGCCAAGGAGCGGGCATGGAAGCTGTGGCGACGCGATCCCCGCAACGATAACCACAAGGTCCAGTACATCACAACTGTTAACCACGAAGTGGAAGCGTGTCATGCAGCGCGATTAGCACATCAACGTAGAATTCGCAACAAGCTTACTGCAGGTTCCCTCCGGGACAAAGAGTGGTGGTCAACCATCAAGAGCGCAGCAGGCAAGGGACGTTGCTCTGACATCCCCCTGCTGACCAACCCTGAAGGACAAGAGTTCCACTCTTCTCGTGAGAAAGCCGAGTGCTTTGCAGCGCATTTTGCGAACAAGTGTAGGCTTGGCAATACCGACCTCTGTGCTGCTGACCTGCCTGACCTGCAACGACCTGCCTATGCCACGCTAAAGCACATTCACTTCCGCGCAGCAACGGTCAAACGGCACTTGGCGAACTTGGCTGTATCAAAAGCAACTGGATCGGATGGCATCTCTGCTCGTGTGCTCAAGATGTGCTCATCTGAACTTGCAGACCCATTGGCAAAGCTCTTCGCCCTCTGCTTCTTAGCCGGTGTGCAACCTGGGGCATGGAAACTTGCCCATGTAGTCCCAGTTCACAAACGATCCTCCAGATCTTTGGCATCTAACTACCGACCAATATCACTGCTAACGATCATGTCGAAAGTCATGGAGGGCATTGTAAACACGCAACTGGTTAACTACCTAGAGAAGCATGAGGTGTTGCCAAACAGCCAGTTTGGATTCCGACGTGGTAGAGGAACCGCAGATAAATTCACCAACCGAAACATCCGCGTTGTGGTTGGAGGCCAGACGTCAGATGCTCAACCCATCCAGGCTGGTGTCCCCCAAGGCAGCATCCTAGGACCCAGCCTCTCCCTTCTATACACCTGTGACATTGAACAATGTTTAACCCCAGGAACGCAGCTGAGCAGCTTTGCAGACGACACCACACTCTACAGCTTAGTAGAGCCAACTGACGATCTCCAACAGTCCACCGCCTCCCTCCAAGGGTCCCTCAACAGTCTTGAGGAGTGGGGCCGCAAGTGGCGTATCTGTTTTGAGCCAGCCAAGACACAGCGCATGACTCTACATCGCAAGCACGTTCCCCCCTGCACTCCACCAGTCACCTTTGGAGGTGAAGCACTCCAGGAGACAGATGCCCTGAAGCTGCTGGGAGCCATGCTCGACCCTACTCTCTCCTACAGAGCGCACACTCGCAGTGTTGCACTGCGCGCCTCCCAAAGGCTGGGTTTCCTACGAAAGGCAGCACCCATCCTGGACGACCATGGCCGAGTGACGGTCTACAAGGGATTCGTGCGACCCCTACTTCAATATGCCCCACTGACCTGGTCGAGCGCAGCCGCAACTAACATGGCCCAGCTGGACAAGGTTCAGCAACGTGCCCTGCATTTCCTGGGACCTGGAACCATCCTCCAAAGTCTTCAGCTTCGTCGGATGGTGGCAGCCCTGTCATACTTGTTCAAGCTGCACTACATTCCAGGGCCTTCCTTTTTCAAGCTTGTAGAGTGGAAGGTTCGGTGGACTTCTTCTACGCCTACTTTGTGTTTCTGGATGGCAGTCCGTCGTGAGTTCAGGCCAGGGAGTCAGACCCACCATGGTCACTCAAGGGCTTCCATGACACCCTGGTGCGGATAGTATGCACCAGTCAGAATGCTCTTGTCTTCTGCCATTCCCACTCACACTGACAGTCATATTATAATTATGTTCTCGTTCTGCTGGAACTACGTATACTATTCGTTTAGTGCCCAGGTTGTGAAATCCACTATTGATCATGTGTCCCGGTAGCCCTTGGCGTGGATTGGCGGATAATGTTCGATATTGAGTCAGATTCTTCTCGAGCAGCAGTGAAATTGGCAAACCTTTTTGACCAGTTTGTTGGCATCTGTCATATACATGTACACAATCTCTGTTTAGTTACTGGCTTCATTCCTGAAGATGGACCCTTCCCGAAATTCCTCCCGAATATCTCACTTATTCTAATCGATTGGTTTACGGTCCAGCCATCCAAGACAGTCCGGATGCATTCTAGAAGCCCTTAAACTTAAAGAATCTGGATTTTGGATCTGTGTCTAGTAACGTTCTACATACATTTGGCCATGGCATATCTGTTAACACACGCGATGCGTGCTGAAAGGGCTAAATGTTGTAAAACCTTGCTGACTTGAGCGTGCTGTGAGGATGTATGGATTATAGTGGATGGCTACAGAGGATAAAATTTAATGGGCGAAGTGGTGGCCTGCCGATGCGAATGGCTTTGCTATTTGTGTTCCTCAATTCGTCAGGTGATTCGGCGGCTAATCCAGCTAACTTTACTTTTTTTTTACAGCTGTCAATGTAAAAAATTGGTTGTGAGCAACACTGGCTCACACTCAAATCACTGCTTTTCACCAGAAAAATATTTTATTTCAACGTCTCGGTCATGAAATAACCATCATCACAATGTATCTTGAGAAATGCATGAAGCATACCAGAAAAACCCCAAAATTCTGCTGGTTTTTCTGCCTCTATTATCCACCAGGGGCTAACTCTTGGTGGTCTTCTCAAGTCAAGACAAAGTATTCGGGCACTTGGGCTTTGGCCAAGTCTTCAATCAGCGCATGACCGTGTGCCACAGCTCAATTCGTTCTTCAACCGCAGCTAAAGGAGTAATCCAGAAAACGGTGACATGAAAACTCCAATGTGGGGGATTAGTTCTCTTGAATGTCAATTTCCAAGCTAAGTAGTGCCTGCGGCTAAGGTGAAGTAAAAATATAATATGGATAACATGACAGAACATGACATCAGTACACGGGATACAATGCGCTTGAAAGTGCTGTACAACTATATTCAACTGTGTAAGTCTCAAAACAATTATTCTACTTCCAGTTTGGTAAGGAAAGCATGGGAATGAGAGGGAGGGGAGGGCGAGTAAAGATCTCATGTACACAGCAAGCTTTCGACATTCGGATACATGTACATGTATATATAGACTGGACAGAGATGCAGCTGGAAGACCATAGTAATTATTATTACCAGGGTTTCAGATGCCATTGCTGCATCCCAGGTGCTTGCAAAGTGGGAAGAAAATGAATTTGTCTCTAACTATAGTGCTGTGCAGTCAAAAAGCTGCGTACTTCATACATAAATATAAATCTGCTCATCTCATTTTGGTCCGTATACATAAGCCCAGGGTTACTGCATTACACCTGGTCACTGCACTGCGTGATTCACAGCAGCAGAAACCGAACCACAGCTAACTGGTGCCGGGGATATTCAACTGGTATCACATTTGAAACGCTTCGTTTCTAATAATATAATCACTAGCTGCAGCCTGTTACGGGCGAGTTGAATGTAGGTCTTCAGTGATGCAGCCGCTGGCGGCACTCAAACGTTTGAGCCAAGCGTGCCCTTGGACACGGAGTGGTGGAGAGCTTGACCGATGGCGTAGCGGAGGTGCTCCTGACCCGACTTGCTCGACATCACCTGCCTCACCAGCGCATCCACCGTCGAGCTGCTATCCGTCGCAGAGGTGACGGCGGACGGCAGGGGGCGAGTCGTACGGGATCGCTTTCGCCCGCCGTGCGAACTGACTCTCTTGGCCAGTTTCTTGTGCATGACGCGGCTAGTCATGGTATTCGCTGCGGTCATGAAATAACCATCATCACAATGTATCTTGAGAAATGCATGAAGCATACCAGAAAAACCCCAAAATTCTGCTGGTTTTTCTGCCTCTATTATCCACCAGGGGCTAACTCTTGGTGGTCTTCTCAAGTCAAGACAAAGTATTCGGGCACTTGGGCTTTGGCCAAGTCTTCAATCAGCGCATGACCGTGTGCCACAGCTCAATTCGTTCTTCAACCGCAGCTAAAGGAGTAATCCAGAAAACGGTGACATGAAAACTCCAATGTGGGGGATTAGTTCTCTTGAATGTCAATTTCCAAGCTAAGTAGTGCCTGCGGCTAAGGTGAAGTAAAAATATAATATGGATAACATGACAGAACATGACATCAGTACACGGGATACAATGCGCTTGAAAGTGCTGTACAACTATATTCAACTGTGTAAGTCTCAAAACAATTATTCTACTTCCAGTTTGGTAAGGAAAGCATGGGAATGAGAGGGAGGGGAGGGCGAGTAAAGATCTCATGTACACAGCAAGCTTTCGACATTCGGATACATGTACATGTATATATAGACTGGACAGAGATGCAGCTGGAAGACCATAGTAATTATTATTACCAGGGTTTCAGATGCCATTGCTGCATCCCAGGTGCTTGCAAAGTGGGAAGAAAATGAATTTGTCTCTAACTATAGTGCTGTGCAGTCAAAAAGCTGCGTACTTCATACATAAATATAAATCTGCTCATCTCATTTTGGTCCGTATACATAAGCCCAGGGTTACTGCATTACACCTGGTCACTGCACTGCGTGATTCACAGCAGCAGAAACCGAACCACAGCTAACTGGTGCCGGGGATATTCAACTGGTATCACATTTGAAACGCTTCGTTTCTAATAATATAATCACTAGCTGCAGCCTGTTACGGGCGAGTTGAATGTAGGTCTTCAGTGATGCAGCCGCTGGCGGCACTCAAACGTTTGAGCCAAGCGTGCCCTTGGACACGGAGTGGTGGAGAGCTTGACCGATGGCGTAGCGGAGGTGCTCCTGACCCGACTTGCTCGACATCACCTGCCTCACCAGCGCATCCACCGTCGAGCTGCTATCCGTCGCAGAGGTGACGGCGGACGGCAGGGGGCGAGTCGTACGGGATCGCTTTCGCCCGCCGTGCGAACTGACTCTCTTGGCCAGTTTCTTGTGCATGACGCGGCTAGTCATGGTATTCGCTGACGTCGGTGGATAGGAATTTTCATACATGTTTGCACTGGAAAGCGGCTCAGGGCCAGAGTGAATACTCTCGTACAGGCCAGTCGGTACTGGAGCGCCAGAACTCTGCTGCACAAGGCCAGACCTGTTGGGAGCAACGACAGCCGACGGACGAGGAATCCTGGGCGAATAAGGCAAGATTGGCGGGCCACTTTTCTTCTTGTGGTTGTAGTTGTACCAAGATGGACGGTGTTGTGGGCCAGCCGCTGCCGTCGGTGCAGTTGGCAGGTCCGTCTTGGTCTGATTGTCGGCTGCACTGTGGGCTTCGGTTTTCGCCGACTTTCCCTTGAGCTTGCTGTACGGTGCCGTAGTGTCTTCATCTGAATCACTAGCTAGGAACCATGGCGCTTCGCCGGCATTTTGCTGCTTAGTACCAGGCCGTTCCGCCGAGCCCTCGCTAGCTGCCTCGCTGCTTGCTCCCACTGTTTGACTGCTTCCTTTGAGCGCAGACTCATCGTTTGCGCTCGGCGACGGAGTCTTGTCAGCTCTGAGAGCGAGAACACTCTGAGGCGGCGATGTCGTATCCACTGACCCAGACACTGCGCAGTGATCGGATGGTATGGGCATGGGCGGCCGCAAGTCGGGCGAAACCATCTTGGCGTGCGCAGGCAGCTTCTCGTATAGGCTATCGTCGTCATCGTCGCTACTGTATACAACATCTGGAATGGCCGCGACTTCGCGCCGACGTTCCGGCTCAGAGAATATGCCAGCGTCCAACGATCGCGATGGAAGCATTGGAGGCTCAGGACTGGGCGATCTAGCTAGCAAACAGCCGGCCGAGACACTCTTGTGGCGGATAGTTGCGTAGATTGGCTCTGGGTCGGGTATGGCAATAACAGACACAGGCGCAGCTTGCGAAAGTATCTTGTTTGGTGTGAGTTTTGTTTCATCGCCCGAGGGTGAAGGTGGAGCAGGTGGTGTGCCTGGTGGTGATGGAGGGGGCGGTAAGGAAGCTCGGCGTCTGTGTTTCTGCTTCTTCCTCCTACCCTTCTTGGGCAACGTGGAGAAATCAGAGTCGCTGCCTTGCTCGTTCAGGGCATCAATGGACCGTGCTCGTTTTTTCAGCGGATTGCGCGCAGACACGTTTCCAAGTGATGCTTTCCTATCTCGACTTGCACTGCTGTCTTGTAGCGGGCTGTCAACCGGAAGGGAAGCGGGCTTAGCTGGCCGTGAGAAGACCGCATCATCCAGGGTTGGTGACATGTCACTTGCGCCGTCAATACTGTCGGATTTGGGCAGGTCGTTGGGGGTACTGGATGACGCTGCAGAGCTGGTGAAAGCTGTTTCTTCGGTTTCGCTGTGTGCCAGTTCTACCTTCACCGTGCGTGTTCCTTCACTGGCCGATTCAGATCGATAGATCATGGACTGATCTCGCTGGCCATTGTCAAGAACTGGTGAGGAAATAATCATGCTGTTGACTCGGCCCTTCTTCGTCTTTTTCTTATTTCTGGGAAGGGAAGTGTCACTGCCAGTCTCCATGATGGGGTCCGCTGTCTCAGATGATCGCCGCAGGGCACTCTTGACAAGCCACCGCAGGCCATGCTGCTTGGCCTTGCGGCTCTTCTCCTTGGAAACACGCTTATCTGCTCCTCGGTGGCCGGGGCTTTCGTCCACGTTCACCGCTGGTGCGGTCTGCGGTGGTTCACTCTGCTCCGTGCTGGTCACCATCACCTCAAGCGCTGGTGACACTGCGGCCTGGCAAGGTTGCTGCACATCTTGCACGGGCGACTCGCTTGCCGTTTCAGTGAATCCAGGGCACGAGACGGCAACTACATTCACCACAGGGCTGGCCACAGGAGCATTCTTTCGAGAGCTGTTGGGCGTCGTAGGAGCGCCTGACGTAGCCGCCTTTCTATTCACATTCGTATCAGCAACTCGGATGCTCAGGCGCGAGTACACTTGTCCAGTCTCCTCGTTACGGCACAGATCCGAAAATCGCCGCCATACATTCTTGCAGATTGACGTCACGGCACGCTGCACAGACACAAGACGAGCACACATACTTTAGGAAGGCAGAAGGAAGCAGTCTCCATCCCACTTCATTTTCAGTGAAGAAAAAAGCAGTAATTTTGTTAAAGAGAACACAAACCTACAAATCATGTTGAAAGTATGCAAAGTAGTACACACAGTACACACATTGGGTAATAGAGAGATTCCGGGGTACCATTTTCCGCGCCAAAATCCGTATGGGCGCTACTGATTTTTTCTAGGCGTGCTCTATACGATTTTTCGGCACGGAGAATCCGTGTGGACTGGCTTTGATAAGAACTATGTTTCGAATGGAGATTTTGCGTCATCGGGTGCAGAAAGATTTTCGCCTACAAATTTTGTACGAGAAACATCGATTTTCCGCGGGAAGGTTTGATTTCGGTTCAAAATATCAAACTGAAAAGGCATAGCACGGGAATGTGATGTGTTTGCGATCGTAATCTAGGCAATGACGGCAAACACATATGTTCCGTACTCCGGAACATTTCACTGCTCGAAAACGACGTATAAAAAATCCGTAGCGCCTCTATGGATTTTGGCATGAAAAATCGTACTCCGAAACCTCTCTAATATATTGCACTAATATTAGTACACTACTGTCGGTCATCTACTTTCTTTTAGTCACGAGATGTCATTGATGAATGTGGCAAGGAAATGTTCCGGAAGAAAACAATTGCTACTTTTTCGTGTGGTATGAGCGCGGGTTTCATTTCATTCATAGCTATCTTATTGTAAACACATGGTTTCCATTTCTAAGCCTCGCCGAATCCTCGGTGTCCCGATCCTAAGGCCATTCAGCACGTGCAAATTTGTGGCTGTCTAACACATAAGTGCGCAGTAATAAATTAAAGGGGAAGTTAAGGCTAAAATCAAAATTTCACCAGTTGTAGTCTTCGGGGTGCTGAGTCGAATGGTCTTGGTCCGAGAAAGCTGAGACGCTCCCTTCCTACTTGAATCCCAATCGAACTCGCGCACTTCCACCGAAACTGGGTGACTGTGCCCTACTAGATGGGGATTTGTATGCAAAATGTCACTAAAAGCCCCATTTCGTTCTTATAAAAGCACGGATGACCGCGATTGGCCCATATGTTGTACTCTTTTGGACGCTGAGTCGACTGGTTTTGGTCCGAAAAGGCTGCGATGCAGCATTCCTCCTTTATTCCCAATCGAACATGGTTGAACAAGCGGTCACGTGCTCCTGGGTGTCCAAATCACCTGGTTACCGCGCCAGCAGGCGACAACTTTCACACCAAGGTTCAACTCGAGTTCAACTCGAGTGACAGGACTACACCCAAAAAAGGTCAAACAGGCTAGCAAGTTGTACCCTGCAGGCACGGTGACCAGGTGACTGGTGTATGCAGGAACACGTGACCGCTTGTTCAACCATGTTCGATTGGGAATAAAGGAGGAATGCTGCATCCCAGCCTTTTCGGACCAAAACCAGTCGACTCAGCGTCCAAAAGACTACAACATATGGGCCAATCGCGGTCATCCGTGCTTTTATAAGAACCACATGGTGCTTTTAGTGACATTATGCATACAAATCCCCATCTCGTAGGGCGCAGTCACCCAGTTTCGGTGGAAGTGCGCGACTTCGATTGGGATTAAAGTAGGAAGGGAGCGTCTCAGCTTCCTCGGACCACGACCACGACTCAGCACCCCGAAGACTACAACTGGTGAAATTTTGATTTTTGCCTTAACTTGCCCTGTAACCCGTGCTAATGACGCCTATAGACGTCATGCTCGCTGTACGCCAAACCACTAATGACGTCTATAGATGTCATGAGATTTGCGCAGTACATCGCATTGCATAGATCAGTGTACAAACTTTCGTAACTCCGTCAAAAATATATCTATCGCGACAATCGATACACCGTTGTAAAGGTATTTTAAATGCTCAGCTTTCCAGCGATATAAAGTTCTTCGCGGTAGGAGATTGACAGAGCGGCGACGGAGTGAACACGGAATTCACGGCATGCGTTCGCAGTTTTCTGTTGCGTGCCAGGGGATTTCCCTTTGGCACAGCGGATGCGTAATGCAACAGCGGAAGCACTTGGATCTCAGCTTTGCAGCGCAGTTTGAATCGTGAAAATCAGCTGAACTGTAGCAAGAAACCGAAAAAGAATGTGAGATCGAGTTCCTGTGCTTTTCCAAGGCATCGTGAGGTAGTTTCAAGAGGACGTAGAAGTTGCACCGCCGCGCATATTGAGTTGAGAGCCACCAGGGTGGATTCGCTTGGTCCTGATCTTTCCAACAAGCCCAGGATGATAAAAATACATCAAGGTGAACTAAATTGAGAGAAAACTTCTGTCCGACCTGTGCGCGAAAACAATACCAGGAGAGTCAGTGCGGAGGAAAGGCAGTTTGCTGGAGTAAAAGGGGCCAGCATGGAAAGGGTTAACAATAATTGTCGTCAACCTCCGAAGATGACCACTCTGATAAAGCAACCACATGTCGCAGGGGCCCATGACATCCAGGACCAAAAGGTGTCCTTTCCAATCAAAATTTCCTGAATATGAAGACCACCTGTAAACGGGAACCACATTGGGAAGGTTCCCTGAATGGTCTTTTTTGACACGTTTCACTACACATATCTTACATAATGTATTATCATTATCTTCCCCAGCCAGGTTCATTTACCTCCTTGATCCCGGAGACCCCTAGTTAGACCTTAAGCCTTTCGAGAATCCTTCAATGTAAAGAGATTTGACACGGTCAAGATCTGTGCCCAGGGATCAAGACCATTTCCAGCATGCGTGTATGTGCTTTGCGACAACATGACTGCCAGACCTACCTCTTCCAGGCAGTTGATGGCAAGTGCCAGGTAGCGCTGTCCGGGCGGCTGCCAGCACTTGATCAGTAGAATGTACATGCCATCGTCCTTCACATAGCCTGCACTACTGATGTCCTGTATCTCATGCCGACTGAGTAACACCTACACGACAGGCAAACATGAACCAGTTCACTGAATGGGAATTTCATCAGCGATATCCCTGATTACAAGATGCATGCAAACATACACCAGGCCATTAGAATATCCGTGCAACGATTCTTGTGTACAGTAAAATCGAACACGTTGTAATCCGCATGTGTAGTATTCCTACTAGACCACTGAGGGTTCATTGTAAACATCCAGACAGTGGCAGAATGGACCGTAAGTATTGCTGGATGGATGGGCGTAATGTCAATCTAATATTATGCTCTCGCCAAGTTGTGCTGGAGTCTTTTTCGGCGCCCGCATACGATCTACTAAGTCAAGTACCACATTACATATCTCTTACTTCCTCCTCGTCATTAAAATTGTCGCTTCCCAGAGCAATTTTTCGAATCTTTTTCTCCACTCGAAGGGGAAAGAAATCAGCTAGAAATTGAGACAGAGCATTGTCGACGGGCCAAGCTTTAGTTTGTGGCCTCCTGCTTCGCTGCACTTGCAGCTAAGGTCGACGTCTTCATCAGAGTTTGAGGCAGATCGTTCAGCACCCAACAATACGCTGAACAAGACGCGCGTTCAAATTCAGGTACAGAAACTTCGTTATCAAGCGATCCATGCCTCCAGGTGGCAGGCGATGAAGGCAAGCTAGCATTTTTCAAAGTACCTGTAACGAGCAGTTCCGCACCTTCTTTCCTTGGCAAGCGCTTCGCTGGTTTTGTTGGTGTTTTCAGAGCTGTTACCTTCGCAGCAACATGCACCACAAGCAGCGCATTTTAGGAGTTTGAGAACACTTTGTTCGTGCCATCGGCAACTTCAGCATTTCGTATTCCGGAGAGATACCAGGATTCTTATACCCAAGCTTGCAGTCTTGATAAATGCCCATGCCAACGATGTGGGACAGCGCGCACTCCAGAAAAAGGATATGGGCTCTGGGGCGGAATAGTGCGGAGCGCGATGAATTTGCTTGGTGCGGAAGAGAGCTCCGACAAAGTCAAGTCCGAGACCACCACGGCTGCAGTAACAAGTAGACATTGCGCAGGAAGGGTCGCACCAATGTTCGAACATAGAAAACAGCGATTCCGACAGTCTGACGAAGACGAGCAAAGTCACAAACATTGCGATATGCGAAGCGACAATTTTAATGACGCAGAGGAAATGGCTTTTTCTGTGAATCAGCAGATTAGATTGGCATTGTGACTGTTTGAAGGGCTAGGTAACCGGCAGGAAGTGAATGATTGTAACATACTACATCCCATCGTTTTAGCATTATCAAGTTGGCAAGAAGTAAAGTTTCTTTCACATTGTTTCTTTTTGATATACACAATACCTATCACGCATACCTTGTGGTGAACATCCGTGATGTAGATCCAGTTTGACGAGAGAGACAGCACAGCCAGCGATCCACTTTGAACGCCGTTGTGGAATATGCCAGGTGTGTCCAACTGAACTCAGCCGACAAAAAGAACACATGCACACAAGAATCCTCAGCTACTGACAGTCAATGGGAAACATGCAGACAATGGGGAAAAGAATTGGAAAACTCAGTGTGAGACATTGATCGCCTTCCTGAACAAACTATTAGAGTTTACGTCGATGAATGTCAATCATCAAGCCGTGATTTCCTAACATACATTCTATGCGTCCTTGGATGTAATTCTTGGGCATAAGTCAGGAGAAGTTGCACTTTAGAATGTTAGATAAGACCTACTGTAAAAGCCATCATTCTAACGAGGCTCGTATATAACGATTTCCCAAAATTGACTAGTTTACGTATACCAAAGGTAACGATTCTCACTCATTCTCAACGCTCAATAGGACAGTATATGACTTGTATTGATTTCTGTATAACGATTTCTATTTTAACGACAGATTTCTCCTCGTTAACTCGTTAGAGTTAGCACTTCGTTTACAGTAGACTAAACTGCATTTTTAGAGAATTACCGTAATACATTACAAAAGTGTAATCCACCAGCCGTACAGTGCACAATGTGTATATATACACAGAGCATAGGCTGTAGAGGACCAGTTAGCTTTATCCTTATCTCCAAGTTTCACGATTCCACAAAAAAAGTATATTAAATATTAAAATACATGTATTCAGTTGTTTAGTCTGCCCATGATTTGGGTTGGCTAAACATTTTTTCTGCACTTCCAAGTAAGGAGTGTCCTAGCTCATCAAGATAATTACTTGGTCGGCGTCATCAATATTGTCGCTCATCTTTCGACAATTGGAACATAGACTTTGGACAACAACGTGTGCACTTGAGGTGATAAAACTTGGTACGATGGACGGTAAGGTATAGAATGACAACTAGCTATGAGGAATTTACTGTGCAAGGACGGGCCCATACTTTTTGGTCCTCCCCTTCGCTGCTCTTGGCGCTGTTGCCAAATATTTTTGCTCGGGATCGAATCTCTCGCTTTCGCAAGCTCATCTCCCTTCCTCTCCGGTGCCTGGCTATTTCTAAAGGGAAATCGATCGTGACTGTCGCCTTCTCTTTCACGTGGGTAGCAGGACTACCTGTGTGGTTCGAATCAGTCGCCTTTCTTTGCAAGATTTTATTGTGAACGACGACGACGACACGGACCGTACTTGTAAATCTCCACGATGCTCTGGACACTCCGAGCGTTGAGCTGGAGGCGAGGGAACTGCGATCTCAGTTTGGTGAGCTATCCCCGAGGCGAAAGATCTCGACCGTTTTGCAAAATGGAACTGATTCCGAGTAGCCGATTACTTTCCTGTGCATCTCGCTGCTTTTGCCTGCGCAGTGTGAAAAGGTAGTCCATTTTGATGCGGCGTGGTAACAATCAGAATCACCCACCCGTCGCTCTCGAAATCTAGCTATACCTTTCAGGTACTAGTAAACTAACTTTCTAACCAAAGTTGGGATGAAATGGGCTGCCAAGCATTGGCGACATGACATAAAAACAAAGCTGAAAGATAAGCGACAATGTTGATGACGTGGACCAAGTATACTAGACCAGCTGACATTCCACTACACAGCAAAGTTTGAGCAAACTAATCACACATGCGTGTAGCATACTTACCGTACAGGCTTCAACCACTTTCAGCATGTCCTCGAGTGACTCCTCCACCTCTCCCGACGCCACCTTGAGGGTGACTCCCAGGAGCTGGGGGTACATGTAAGCACAGCAGAAATGGGAAAAGAAAGACATGCAAAAGTCAGCACAGCTGTGTGCATGTGTGTGAAGAGGAATGCATGACAGCATGTATGTTACTGTAAAGCCATTATTCTAACGAGGCGCATATATAACGATTTCGCAAAATTGACTAGTTTACGTGTAGCAAAGGTAACGATGATCACTCATTCTCAACGCTCAATAGGACAGTATATGTATCGATTTCTATTTTAACGACAGATTTCTCCTCGTTACCTCGTTAGAGTTAGCACTTCGTTATATATATATGGCTTTTACAGTATCATTTTGGCGCCTGGACCATGCATACCGCTTTGGAGTAGGTGTTGATCTTCTTGTCACTGTTCAATCATCGTTGGGACTCCCATTTCTGTCCGCCGCTACACTTGGTTTGTGTCGATGGCCAATGGCAGCAAGCAACGGACATAATGTGTCGCCTTCGAGTGCTGGCGGTCGGTCCACCGCGGGCATGATGTAACAGCCAGCGGAGGTCTGTCGCTCGAGAGAACGCCTGAGGGGACTCTGCGGGGACAATCGACGTGGTGCGTGTATGCTATGCTGTGCTGCATGGGCTGTGCTGTCGAGCTGCGACCATTCGCGTGAGGGCATTCAGAATTCATAGCTTTCATAGTATTCATAATATTCTTGTTTAGTAATTGGTTGCTTGCCCAAAACTCTTGTCCATGATCAGTTAAGTATTTGCACGCTCGTTGACTGTATCTGTGCTGCATTATCGAGCCATGCAAAATGTTAGCAGCTTGTTATTGGACGAAAACAGTTCCTCACATGCTATTTTTCCTAGAACCCTGGGCACTGTGTGCTACTTTGAGAATATTCTTGTAACTTCTCAGTGTTACACCTCGCCTAGCTTCTTGCGCCCATTACATACCGTATAAATATTTGAAACTCGGATGTTGAGCCAATAATAAAATGTAGAAAAGGAAAAGGACATATGGATACGAGTTAAGAGTAACTGTCCACCACTGTAAAAATAAAGTAAAAAGTAAATTATCGTGTCCGTTCCCGAAGGGAACTCACGACGGCCGCTAACACCCGGTAAATCCTAGCGGCAGATGCAGCGCCTAACGGTGGGTAACTAGATACTATAACTTTACAGTCAGAAAGTGCACTAACTAGGCACAAAACTGACAGAGTACTGAGACATTCGACGTCCTCACACCTAGCTTCAACACATCTCCGTAGCGCTAACCAACAGCCTTCCAACTTGGAAAGTTCAAGGTTGAGGAGAGACCAAAGAGGGGAAGGTAAGCTCAACGAAAAGGAGCACAAGCTACAGTCACACGGGAACAAAGAATGTCGATTGTTACTGGACGATGACGAGACCAGCAAGATACGTGACAAACCGGTCTCACCACAATTCAGTGTCAGGTCGTCAAATGTCTCATTACTCTGTCAATTTTGTGCCTAACTTTTCTTTTTTTACTAAAAAACACAGCCCTACTAATAATCAACTGTTGCACTTTATGACTGACTGTATATGGTATCTAGTTACAGTAGTCACAGGAAACCTCCGCGCTCAAAACAGTGGCACTCTATTGAATGTAGCCAGACTTCCGGTGTTACGTGGATTGCCTATCAGTCCGTAGAGTGTGGACGAAAGGATCATGCGGCAAGACTGCGCGAATGCTAAGACTATACTGATATCCAAGGGAGGGGACATAACTCTGGAGCTCCTCTACTCAATATTGTTGACATGCTGTTTGTGCATCAGCAGCAAAAAAGTTTGCAGGACCAAGCTCAAGTTGTTCTTCAATATTTGCGGAAGGGTCGATCGTATAACGATACTGCCACAAATTCTACCGTTCTCCAAATTGCCGAGAACAGTGTCATGAGCAACACTCAACAGCATTTCTTGTGATCTCCAGAAAGCGTACGACTCGGCCCAGCGCGCTGTGTTTGTGGACTGTGTTACTGCAGCTGGGCATCGCAGAACAAATGGTCGGCCTTACGAAGTCACAACACAATAGCATGACAGCCACGATCATCATGAATGGCATCTGCCACAGACCAGTGTGCAACAGATTGACTCCAGGCCCAAGTAAAGGGTGTACATTAAACTTTACAATAGAGAGGTTGCACGCAACGAAAATCCGTAAGATTTTGACCGTCCGGGTTCGAGTAACGAAAGATGCTATGAAGATCCGTCCGAACGCGACAGAAACAGAGCAGATCTACGAAAATATTTTTCGTAACGTAGAGTACTAAAATACTGATAATTTACAACTCCCTGTCTTGACTCTTCGTACCCACGCGTGAGCCGCCTCAACCTACTAGTACCAGGTACTACGAAAAAGTTCACATGTTCGCACCTCAAGATTTACGAATAATCGTGAACTTTTTTCGTTAAAATTATTCGTTACGGCGCTACGAATTTCCGTTGTACACCACCACCTTCTCTAGTAACATACCAGCCAACCTTTGCAAACCTGAGATCGGGACAATTGCATACCTAGGTATGAAAATATATACAAATGTAGCTGTGAGACATGCGACGAATTCACTTTTGGGTGCCTACTATTATTATTATTATTATTAGACACAATCTCATAGCATGTGACAAGCATAGCTAATGCAGGGACAGAATCCCCTGAGACAAGGGCGTTGAGCCAGCCACGGCAATAGTAAGCCAGGAAAACAAAGCAAATATGAATTAAAGAAGAAAATGAATGGAAAATTACAAAGAAAAACGATTAACGGAAGTGAGCACTATCAAAATTCGTGCATCGCCCAGGTATTCGAGAATGTTCTTCGATGATAATTATTGCGTCTAGTTCAGTTGTGATAGTAGATCTTTAAACTGACCAATAGAAGAACAAGTTTTCAGACCGTATGGTAATGATAACCAATGAGAGTAGCCGGAAAACAAAGGGGACTTTAGATACTGGGCTGACTTAACAAGAGGCAGGGTGAGCGCGTTACGGGTTGAGCTTGTCGAAAACCAATTGTACTTCATCATGTGTGAAGGGGTTTTATGAAGAAATATCTTATGAACCAGTGTACAGAGATGGTGCTTATGACGAACGGAGAGAGGAGAAGTGTGTGCAAGTCGATAAAGGGCATCCGAAGGAAAACATCGATCCTTGTTGTAAAGAATTTTAAGTATAAATCTATGGTGGACTTCTAATTGGCTCAGAGTTGTGTCAGAAAGGCCACACCAAGCGGTATCGCAATAGTCGAATATAGGGAGAATATAGCACTGATAAAATAATAGTTTACACTGGATGGGCAAATGAGTGCAATGTGGTTGTAGTACCCCTAAGGCTGAACTGGTTCGCTTGCATACACAGTTGACATGTGCAGCCCAAGAGAGTTTGCAGTCAAACATCACACCTAGATGTTTGTGCTGAGTAACAACACGGATAGGCATAGTCGAGTCAGGGAAGAATAATGGTTGATCAGGAGGGGATGAAGAAATATACATGGCTTCTGTCTTGTCTAAATTGGGCTGGAGTTTCCACGTTTGCATCCACATCACAGTGCTGTTGATGCGATGCTGCATGGTAAGGAGTAATTGTGCAGGGGAGGAATCAGAACAGATAAGGCCAGTGTCATCCGCATACAAACTAACATCGGGGACAACTGAAGGTAGGTCATTAACGTAAAGCAAGAATAACAAAGGACCCAGAATGGAACCTTGGGGCACTCCAGACGTTACAGGGAGGGGATCAGACAAGAAATAGAACAAGCGAACAGCCTGAGAACGAGCAGACAGATACGAGGATATCCAACGCAAGGCAGCATCCTCCACCCGGAAGGTGACCTTCAACTTGGCAAGTAAGCCACGATGCCAAACGGTGTCGAATGCCTTAGCCAAGTCGAAAAACACCATTCCCACGTGCTCCCCACAGTTCCTCTTTGTCGCTATGTCTTGGACAAGTCGAGTCACCTGGTATTGAGTTGAGTCACCACGGCAGAATCCCGACTGAGCTGGTGAGAGAGCCGGAGCGATGTGCAGGTAGAGGGAATCGAATACAATACGCTCACAAAGTTTGGAAACTGTGCGCAGCAGAGAGATGGGGCGGTAGTTTGCCGGGCAAGCACGGGAGCCTTTATTCTTGTAAAGCGGTGTCACGATGGCGGATTTCCAATCCTGTGGGAATGTACCAGTTCGAAATGACATATTAAAAATAATGGCGAGAGGATAGGCTATTGATGGTGCAAGAGACTGCAGCACTTCATTCGGGATCCCATCTGAGCCGGGAGACTTTCCACATTTCAGGCGCTTCAGATATTTCCGAACTTGAAACGTAGTGACAGTGATTGTACGGAACGGAACAGATATGAAAGGCGACTGGGACAAAGGGGGAATGCGCCACGAAGGATCATCAGGTAGCCCAAATGAGGTGAACTGAGTGTTCAGAACATCAGCTATGCTCTTGGGGGACGTGGCGACCGTACCGTCGGATGCTATCATCGTTTGGGGCATGACACGGCCGGAAGTGTGCCGCTGTGCTCGCACAAACTGAAAGAGTGTAGGTCGATTCGGTGATGTTAGTGATGCTTGGATGGAGCGTATATATTGACGATGTGCTTGCCGAGACAGGTGCTTTACAGCATTCCTTTGTCGGTTATAAGCTGCATGATTTACTGCTGTCGGATATTTTTTGTACACACTATATTGATCACGCTTGCGTTTTACAGCAGACCTGAGCTCAGCAGTAACCCATGGTGGAGATTGCATGCGGGGTCGTGGAGATGTCACAGTGTGGGTGGCTCCGAATGAAGTGAGGTGCCGACGGAAGGCGGACTGGAGCTCACAATCAAAGTGATGAAGTGCGTCATTAACATCAGTGTACGAGTTCAGAGAGGACCAGTTGTAGCCAGCTAAATCAGCGTTGATGAATTGCCAAAGGTGCGAAGGTACTTGTTTGAAGCGATACAGTGAAGAGGGAGGACCAGTGGCAGAGTTGGGGAAGTAGTTCGAAATAGGGGCGTAACATAAAGTGCAAACAATCTGTATATGGTCAGACATACCCAAGGGAGGTGCTTGATCAATTGAGCGCACGAGGCGTGGTCGGTTGGTGATCACCAAGTCCAGACACGAAACAGAGCCATTAGGCGAGGAATGAGTGGGGAAGTCAACCATCTGGTGGAGCCCAAGAGCAGCAAATACTGTGCTAAGGAGGTCACCAGCCTTCGAGGTAGAATCGGTGGGACACCAGCTTGAGTTGTGGGCGTTGAAATCGCCAGTCACTAGCAGATCATAAGAATCTAAACAGACTGACTGTAATGCCTCAACAAACATGTCACAAAAGTACGACAATTGCATTGTGCTCTGTGAGGGTGGTCGATACATGCAGCATAGTAAGATGGGATTCTGAGATTGAGTAGAGGGGGAGCCAAGTTCAAGCCACACAGACTCGCAGCCAGGGCGTTGAAGGTCGGCACGAGGGGAGACGTACGGAAAGGAGTCCGAACGGACAAGTACGGCAACACCCCCATACCCACGGCTACAGTGTGCTGACCGATTGTCTTCCGGAGGTCGATCTCTGCGGATGCAGATATAGCCTGACAGTGAGAGCGGGTTTGAGGGACAGAGCCACGTCTCTGTTAGGCAGATTATGTCAGGCATAGCACATTCGGCAATAACGCAGAGCTCAGACAACTTGTTGACAACAGAGCGACAATTCAGAGATACTAGGGTTAAATCACGCTGGGATTTAGGAAAAAAAGGGAACGCTGATGGATTTAGCGCTGGACATGCAATGTGTGCGGGTCGGCCAGAGGAGGGCTGAGCGGGGTAGAGCGGGCGGGCTAGTTTCGATCGTGGGGTGAATACAGGGGCGTTGGGATTTAGTCGTTGTTGCTGCATCGTTGTGTATGTTGGTTTGTTAGCATGACAGTTCAGGATTGATCATCACTGCCTCGCCGCGAATTAGAAGACGACTTGTTACCTTGGGCATCAGCAAAGCGCCACTTTCGCACTGTGTGCTGGATGGTGGCCGGCCAGAATTTGGAGTCGAGAACTTTGTCCTCGTCCGATGCTGCCACGGTTACGCGAGCATGGCTAGTACCCAGGTACGTGTTTTCTGAAATCGAACAGTTCAGTACGTCAACTTGGCGGGCCTTGCACCACGCTGTTATTGACTCTGCCCTGCAACCCGGACTGACATTTCCAACGTACAGAACAAGCTTCTTTGTACGTTCAGGCCCTGTTAGCACACGCGGGTCGGCTGCCCTGGGCTGTGGTTTCACGTAGCGTGACGTAACCCTACGGCGTGTGACTTCCGACCACTCTGCACCTGCAGCACTCGACCCTGGGTTGGATTGCTCAGGTGGGTGTGGTCTGGTGCCATGCATTGACAAAACAGGCTGCGACAAATGGCTGGAGGTGGTGTGAGCGGGGGTCATATGGTGAGTACTAGAACCCGTACTACCCTGTGTGTACTGCATAGGACCAGAGGAAATATGGGTGCGTGCACGTGGGGGATTCAAGTCTCCTACGGCGGTGCTGTACAACTTCCCGCCGGACATTGCCAAATTTTGCTGTGCTTCCTGTACGAGAGGGTGTACACAGATTTCCGGTTGTTGGAGCCCCTGAACTTCCCGCCTGAGTTGTTGCACTTCTAATTCCAGACTCAGGATTTTGTCGGCTCTATCCTGTCTCAAGGAGACAATTTCCTGTGACATGCAGCTAATTGAGTCAGTAAGGCTTACAATTGCAAGTTGGAGCTCCGATGTGGGTAGCGAACTCTGCGCCAACACGCCCACTCCACGCTTCCTCAGCTCGCTCACCAGATCCGGCCGGGAGAGGCTCGAGGCTTTATCCACAGACATTTGCTCGCCGATCTTGATGAGCTCCTCATAGCCAACCAAAGCCAGGTCCATGCCTTCGTTTGTCGCCATTGGTACTGTTGGTCTCTTCTATTAGTTCTAAGCAATAATGGGGAGGGGTAGTTCTGTAGAGAGACGCACCTCGAGGCTAATCCTCGGAGCACAAAATGTCAAACCGCACCCTACTTTCACACTATAATTACCACCCTCAGTGTCGGGACAGCCCCGTGCAAATCGGGATGGTTGGCAGGCATGCAATAACTATACTGCATGTGGCTCCACAGGCCTCGCAATTCCAGGCCTAACCTGTCTTTACAAGTACATGCGTGAAAGGAATTGGGAAGATGATCTGCTTCACATCATTCGATTATCTGCTTCACATCACTAGATCAGCAAGCTGTCGCACACTGAGATCACAATACTCGGTGCAAAGCCGAACTCCCCTTATCCGGGCACATTGGAAATGGGCACTGCCTGTCACTAGGAACTACCCAAACTGACTAAGAACGCACATACTGACCGCATGCCAGTTAGAACCTCTTATTCCCATCGATGGTATTATTTGGCGCCGTTTTTCGTTATAAAACTCGAGTCATACTTCTGACTCAAAAAAGGTGCCCAGTTGATGGGAGTACCCGGATCCGGGAAGTAGTGATTAGGGGAGTTTAATTGTAGTTGAAATACAGTGTGCTCTCATCCCAACATGCTGCTCTGCTACATGCTATCCATGAACTGGTAGCTCCTTTCAGTGAAATGGGCCTACATGTATACGCCGCATTTGTGACCACTTTACAAAGTTGGGATGTAAGAATGATTTGGCTCAACGCGAGCGCATCTTGGGTTATCATATTTCACAGGACAAAACTGTAACTCATCCTTAGACAATGTAATGAAAAACCAAAGAACCAGAAAACGACAAGCGGAGATAAGCACCAGGAAAAATGGGCCAGGAAACCGTATGTGGTACATGAGGGCCATGGAAACGTCGTAGGCGTGCCATGGCGCGAAGGTAAGTAAAATACTTTAGAGGACACGATAGAAAGAAGAAAGAAGACTGTACACGTATAATCAATTGCTTGTAAGCTGGTATGTATGCTGGTATGTATGCTGGTATGTATGCTGGTATGTACTAGTATGCTGGTATGTATGCTGGTATGTATGCTGGTATGTATGCTGGTATGTACTGTACAGGCAGAAAATTTCGTCGGTCAATAATTTCGTCCAACTCCAAAGAAAGGGAGTTCGTCCGGTTGAAAATTTAGTCCATGGACTATAACAGTGTATAGAAACGCTGGACAAATCGACATTCGTCCGTCATTTAATTTAGTCCCAAAGCTCCTTGGACGAAAAAGACGAAATTAAATTCCAGACGAATATTTTTGCTTGTACAGTATGCTGGTATGTATGCTGGTATGTATGCTTGGTGCGAACCATTAGTTTGTGACAATACTTATTCATGCGATATCTAACAAGCATGCAATATTCCACACTTACCACGATATCCCATTGCTGAGAATCCTTCAAGCGCGATCGATCAACAGAGCCTACATGTGTATTTTGAGAGAGAGAGAGAGAGAGAGAGAGAGAGAGAGAGAGAGAGAGAGAGAGAGAGAGAGAGAGAGAGAGAGAGAGAGAGAGAGAGAGAGAGAGAGAGAGAGAGAGAGACAGAGACAGAGAAAGCCATATACTCACATACATACATGCACACACACAAACACACACACACAGATGTACGCGCACACAAAGGCATGCATGTAGGCATAAACACATACGCATTATCATGAGATGAGTCAATGCATATGACATTATACTCCAAGAATACACCCTTCTTAAACAGTAAGTATGCCGTTTCCCTAAAGCATATGATGCCCAGATTGAATTCATTGCATCCCTTGCACTGAGGCTTCTATGTTCGTATCCTGGCATGGTAACCAAATTATTACTTCAACAAATCAAAAACATTCAAGTACCAGTGTAAGCCCAACATGGTCTACTAAGAAAGGTAGGCAACCTTTCCAGGAAAAGTTTTTTTAAATGTCTCTCCGCAGATTGAGTATTTCGCTCCTGCTCTTGTAGCAGTTTTAAGCACTCTCATGTGGGGTAGTGCCTTCTCTGCTTGCTTTATGCAGAGCTCACTGACTTGTGAGTCTGAGCACTCTGGCAAGGTACGTTCGGGCCTGGTTTTTATCTGGCCTTGGAAATTTTATTTTTCATTGCTATCAGGTTCGGCCTCATTTTCTCTGTGCTGCGCTGATGAGTCCACAAAGGACGAAACAGTTCTGCCCGCAGATTGAGTGGAAATGTATCTCCAAAAAGGGATGCCATCGTTGTCTCCAGAATCACAAGTCGATACACAAAACGTAGACCAGTTCTGTCCGCAGATTGAGTGAAAACGTATCGCCAAAAAGGGATGCCATCGTTGTCTCCAGAATCACAAGCAGATACACAGAACATCAACCCGACCTTTACAAAACGCCAAAACGCCGACCCGACCTGTACCCCTTATGCTAGCAGCATGTGCAAATGTTTCAGACAACATCATCATGTGAATATGGTGAACTACAGGGCCAGCTAGCTGTGAGCTTCATACCAGAACTTGGACTGTGTATCATATGGGCACATGCCTTGACAGTCAAGCGTTGCGAAGGATCGACTGCAGTTTCGACACTTGAACTCCGTTTCTGTCGAAACTTGAAATGCGGATTACCTGTAATGTCAACCAACTCCAGCTACTCAAGTAGCCATGCCGTCGCTCGTGCTTTTTGTAGAAACGAGTGAATGCGAACAACTCCTGTGCTAGTCTGGGGAGCATACTGCACCAGCCTCATGGCCATTTAAAAGTATGTTGGCTGAGCGGTATGCCTTGGCAGATATAGCGCAAGAATTTGACAGATTCTGCACAAATATTATGGAAATCGGCACAACCATGGAATGTTTATGACAGGCAATTCTGATACTTCTGCTCCTCTTTCTTAGGCACAATTCTTTTTCAAAAAACACAAAACCAAAAAAAGAACACATGCATGAAACGTGCCCGAAAAGTACCAAAGTTTGCTGGTTTTTCTGCAAGCATCATCCGTCAGCATTTTCCGTCAGCATTTTCCGCCAGCATTCTCCATCATGGGACACTGTGCGGTGGGTACAGGGACTGTGGAGTCATCCTCATGTGTATACGCAGTCCCTAAAATCTCACACGGGCTAGTCAAATTTAGACATGATCAGTGTCTATCTTTCATACATAGAATACTAACCCTAACATGGCAGCATGATACTGTATGACCTGATTGCCAATTCCCAGGCACTTGACAGGCCAGAATGGTGATTGGAGAAAAAATCTCAATGCTTCAGGAGAATAATGTTCTAAGCTCTTGCCAGTCTTGGAGAAAAATCTCTAATATTACTCTATGCTCACATCAACAAGGAACCATGCCAGTGTCATGTGCATGTGCGATCAAAAACCATGATGATGATGCACAAAAGCTACTGTGTTCCGGAAATCAGCTGATTTCATTTTTTTCATTGCCCATGCCATGGCAGAAGGCTAGGGATGGAGTGAGTACACCCGCTCAAACAGTCCATTCACATGATTCAATCACGCACGCCTACACTACACTAGCTGTGTGACTGCACAACCAGCCAGAATCACTGAGTCTGTTATCAGATTCTAGCAAAGCACTTTACTCACTCAGCGCGGGACAGCAATCGCCTAGCTCCATGGCCTCCATGGCATTACACACCGCACTGGACCGTCGGTTCGCACACCAACCGTAGCTCCAGTAACGAGTTGCTTGGGCACTGCTACCACGGCTATTCGTTTGTCTTGACACGGAAAAGGCACAACTCAGTCGGAGATGGCTGCGCGACTTTGACAGTTTCCAGTGTGTTGCGAAACTCCAGAGTATCAGCGGAAGAGTTCGCAAGTGTTGCTAGCATGACATCTCCAGTTATCATCCACGTGAAAACGAGCAGATCTACAATGCCGTCAAGAAGCGAGCGAATCAAATTCCAACAGTCAAAACAAGAGCACCTAGGCCCAGCGAGGATGGGACAGCGCTTTCCATTCGTCACCCCTGACTTCCCTAGTAGCGTCTACGTGGTCAGCTGGACTGTCAGGAGGAGCCACTCGCCACGGAAATTTTTCCGCTACACGTCAGCAGCGGCCTGTTCCGACTTTCGCTGCAGGAGTGTCCGTAAATCGACGCTAATAACTTCAGCCGGTCGACAGGGACGTCACGTCAGTGTCTAAAAGAGACAAATAAGCTGACTCTCCTAGCGAGTATTCGCCATAACAAGGACTTCGCTCGCGTGGCAAACTCTACTTCCACACTCCACAGTGCAGCCGGGCCATGCGCCAGGTGAGCCAGTTGTCGGTATCGACTTTCAATGGACTGGGACTGCGTGTGTAGTCACTCTGTTATAGTGTTATGTGCGAAGCAGATCATCGTCAACGGACTGAGTGTGTTTGTGTAGTTGGCTCGAGTCGCAGATCTACGATCTGCGCGAGTGTTGGCTGTTGAGCGTTGTGCCCAAGATTGGCGAGAATGGCATTAGGTGAGCCTTGTATCGAGTGGCAGTGGTGCTTCATGGCAGCAGGCTCATGCCGTACGCTACTAGCAGTGCTTGTAGTAAGTACTGTAAAAGAAGTAGTCGTCTTGTACGAGTTCGCCGGCACAGGCTGAAAGCTAGCTCAGCCGCTTTGGCAACAGGAAGATGCATGGCCCTGACTGGAGCTGGACATGTGTTGTAACTGCTGTTGTTCAGTTATCACTGCAATGTGCATCGCATATCGAGCCCATTGTGCCTTGCCACGCTCAGGTTCATGAACAGCGGGTGTGCCGCTTCGAGAGGAAGTATTTTTGGACGAGCGAAGGAGCGGGCACTCCGAAAGTGCGGCCCTGCTTTGCCAGTCGCTTGCGCGTTTTCCTATGACTACCGTCAACAGTGCTGTCAGTAGTCAATGATAGTCGTGTCAGCAGCGAGGTAGAGAGCATGGCAGAACATGAGACTCGATAGGGATCGTGGCGAAATCACCTTAGGCCCTTGCGAGTGATCGCTTCCTAGATTCCACGCTAGAAATGCGTTTAGAATTACATTTTGTACACGAAACTAACGTTATTCGTGGCGCTGGTACTAGTAGTAGTACTAGAACTAGAAGATCTACTTGTTACCGACCGCGTGGTGGGAAGGAAGGGAGTGAATCTCTCCACGTTCCGTTGTTCCGATTGACCCGCGCCTATAGGCCTACACGTACATGTACACGGTGGGGTCACGCTACGTACACTGACCGACTGACGACTTGATCAATTGACTAGATCGAGTATGACTGTCACTGGTCACGTAGTGCTAGCTGTGACACATGGTCCCAGACATGTGCAAGTCGCAGGGACTGGCAGAACATGTACGCTGCGATGAGACGGTCACTGATAATAATAATTATTATTATACTCAATCTGTAATAATATTATAACTTTAATCTCAAACCAAGGAATAACTAATAATTATTTTATTACTTACTTTAATATAAGCTATTAACTGGTTTGAGGGAAAGAGACAAACGGGATAAGCTGCCAAAAATTAATTTAGCTACATCCGAAGCACTCCTGTAGCTATTGAAAAAAGTACTAACAGCAGCTTACATGTACATTCAATCTTATCTTATAGTTATTGCCTTTGGCAGTGCTTTGTCAATCGTAAATAACTAGAAAAGCATTCAATATTGCAAAATATCAGTACCTTTTTTTTTTAAGTCTAAAATGAAGAATATTTTCGATATCGTATATTTGAGGTATGCTTGAATAAAATTAATAATGAATAAATAATGTGTGGACTTCGAACAGGTAAGAAGAACTCACTCTACATCTTATACTTCGAAGTACATGTTGCTCAGCAAATTGACAACAATTTTGTAAACAAGAGAAACAAGTTCGCAATAAAGCAAGGCTATAACTTTGCTGCCACTCTGCCGCCTGCTGAAACAGAAAATAAAGTACATTGTAGTTGGCAAACAGTAAGGCACAAAAGGAACTGATCAAACACAAACTGACAACTGCGATACAGTTAAACTCAGATCAATAACTACTTCAGTGTTTGAGATGGCGGCGGAGAAGTTTCTGTTTCTGAATTTCCCTTACACTGCCTGAAGCGTACAATCTTCGTCACTGACAAGTTGCTTCAGCTCCGCCACCACACGCTGGTTTTCACCCAGGCGGCTATGAAAGCAGAGTTTGCGAATCGCGCCGTGACGCTTCACAGCTCGCACAAACCTTTCCAGGCACTCGTCGTCGAACTGGAGCAGGCTGCTGAACGCGTACAAATTTCTCAGGAGAGAGCATGCCTGAACGATGCCACTGATGCACGCTAGTTCGACAGCACCACCATCACCGGCGAGGCCAGACACGTCGGCGACGCTCAGCTTCTCACAAGAAGACACTGCATGGTACACTGCTGCAACACCGCCACAGCCCACCACCCGATTCTTGCGAACGTTGACTTCCTCCAAAGTGGCCGAAAGAGACAGGATGATAGCGCATAGCGTACTGGCATCACTGCAAGAATTGCTGGTCACATCAAGCAAGCGGACATTTTTACAGCTCAATACGCCATCACGGATGCATCTCAGGCCAGCAATGCCAGTGTGGCAGCCATACAAATCAATGACCCGAGTACTGATGCACGAATGTGTGCTCAGGCAGTAGGCAATGGAGGCACATTCGAACAGATACAAGTCCACGCCTATCAGACTAAAGCCGTCGGCGAACACCGGGGAGAAGAACGAACAGCAACCGTCACAGGATCCACCATGATACCCACAATGCTGGTGATGAGCCACTAGAAAATGAACCAGACATAGCCGTTGGTCGCTGGAGTATGCTGGTCGAAGTGCCGGCGACGCATATGCAATAGTCTCGCAGGACGATGATGACACAGACTGTCTCGGCCTGAGGCGCATGGCATTGCGACACCGTGCCGCTGTGACCGGGTCCACACTGTGCACTGCGGCCAGGAATGCCTCGTCACTGGGCTCTCGTGCCTGCTGCCGCCACAAGCTGATCAGAGTGGTCAAGAAGACTTCATTGGACAGGTACGTAGCCGACGGCACAGCACTCTCCACACACCGGCAACCATTGCCCTCACCATGCGTCTCCTCCAGCAGCTTGTCAGCAAGCTGTCCCAGCCGCTTGTACTTGAGCAGGCCGCAAAGTGCTGACTGCATTTTGCAAAGTTCTGAACGTTCGGCTTTGCAATAGGCGTAGCTGGCAATGTCCGCTGCAAGGCGCGAATCAACAGTGTCGGATCTGGCCCACGGATAGCTTTCATAGATCAGGAGCCAAAGATTTTCCATGACGGCAATGGAGACCGCGCGCGGCAGCAGTGTGATGAGGAAGCGCCAGAACAGCGTCATGTGACCGCTGTAATGGCCGACTCTCTTCACGAGCCATGCGGCATCCTGCTCGTTCTTCAGCACTTCGCGTGACAGGTACCACGCAGACAAGAACTCCTGCAGGGACAGGTGAGCAAACCGATACTGTCGCGAGTCAATAGCGCCATAGTCCTCGCATGCAGCCAGCAGTCCAAGTTGAAGAGCGGCATCGCTTAGCTGTGCGCTCTTCACGTCCGCTTCACTGATCACCACCTTTTGCACGGACAACATCGCCAGAGCAAAGCGTGAAAGCTCGCTCATCACCTCCAAATCCGCCTCTTCCACGGCATTAAATGATTCATATGCTACAGCTGCACGCCGTTCAAACACGCGCAGAAGTAGCGACTCGTACCATGCGGTACTGGATTCGGCCAATCCATGCCTGCTGCGGAAGAGCTCGCACGCCATCGCCGCGAACAAAGGAGTGCCCATCAGCGATAGAATGTCCGGCTTGGAACGCAGCTCCTCCAGCATGACCTCAGCGCGCACACTGCCCATCACGTTTCTCACGTACGTCTCCACGTTCTCGGCTGAAAAGCCCCTTGCCTCGACATGTCGCTGGTACTGTCCGCATTTACTCAGCTTGTAGGCATCCGCGCACGGTCGTGATGTCACCACCACATGCACATCTGTGTCGACCTCTCTCATCAGCAGAGCACGCATGTAGTCACTACACTTATCCAAACTGCACTCATCTACACCGTCAAGTACTATACAGAGTCGATACGGGAGGTGGCAAAAGTAGCGGCAGATCTCCGACAGCACCTCTGCGGATACATTCAAACTGGCAAAACGTCGCGTGAGTAAATCAAACAGGCTGTTAGCAGTCTGCACATCAGGACGCCGTAACGCCAACGCAAGCACCAGATCAATCCGCCCCGTCCACAGCGAACCTTTAGCCCACAAATACTCCAGTATTGTCAGGAAGATCGTAGATTTGCCGCTACCAGCGCTGCCAAACACCAGCACGTTTTTAATTGCTGCATCCGACGTCTGATTTCGTGCGCTACACGTCCCTTGTCCGGACTCAGTTGCATCTTCACTGATGGAAAATAAGTCGGCAAGCTCAATGCCTGCTTCACCGGCTACTTCAGACTCTTCCTCTAGTCTCGATTTGAACTGCTCCAGCTGGCGACCTCTCTCAGATACTGACGAAAAGAATGATTCACTCCTCAACAGTTTTTCAAGTCCGTCTTCTGTCAACAGAATCAAATTGAAGAATAAGTCTTTCAAAGGGATTTTGTAGTCACTGCCTAGCCCCGCGCTTATCTGTAGGCCTTTTTTCTCAACAGTGTCGTATAGTAACTGTCTTACCTGCTGCTGAGCAGGAGGGAATATCAGTTCCTTCGCCATGATGGCTTCAAAATATTCTCAGCGGCTCCACATATTCTCAGCGGCTTCATTATAATAAATCAGGAAATCTACATGACTACACACAGCATGGACACTGTACATGTACTACTGACTGTCGTGGACATGGAAATCCGGTCGCACGTCTAGCGGCCCCAGGGCGCTGGCCATGCAGCCGTGGACAAGCTGTACACACATGCATTTGTTCGCTGTACATCAGATTCTGTACATGTAGCGCGCTCGTCGCAAAGGATCAACACTCAACATAATTTTTATGTGCACCGCACGCAGCGTTCTGTACGCGCGCTGGGGGCGCCGGCCGGCCCCGGTCAATCGACTGGATTTCCATGTCCACTACAGCCTGGCCTACACTACAGTACAGTAGTACAATGTCATGTACTCAGTCAACAGGTCAAAGAGCAGTGCCAGCAGGGACGCAGGCATCTCTCTGAGCTTTACTTTAGTACTAGTACTCTACTAGTACTACTGTGACTACTCGGTAGATCTACGAAGATAACGTAAACGCCATACTGTAGTGTATTGTATTGTATTGTATTGTATTGTATTTATTTAAAAGGATTCTCCAAAAGC